AGCTTACGAGCAGCGACACTTCAAAAATGAAGTTAAGCTGCCTTTTAGGAGGGACTCCTCCGTCTTATTTACTTCCGTTAACAGCTGCAAAGTATAAATACTGTCAACCATGGTCCTTCTGGAAGCATCTGTCTGTGAAAGGACCATCATAAAGCATGCTCTATCAGTTATTCATACCTCATGTAAATATGAAAAAAAAAAACCCACCCCAAAACATCACAGACAGGAGATTGTGAAAGGGAGAAAAGAAAAGTGTTAGGCTGCGCAGCTGACCTATGAAATACATTTTTCTCTTCTAAAGCAGTTATTACACACTGTATATCAAAGGGAGGGAGAGGGCTAAGGAAGGGATGAACAATCCGTATTAAACCTTTATGCTCTTTAAATTACCTTTAATTTACAAAGTCCAGTTGGATGGAATTGGCAGGCCTGGCAGACTGCATCGTACAGGGTCAGGACTCTAGAATTACTGTACTGGAAGCCATCGTTAGTGATCTAAATGATATAAAAATCATCCTTATAAGTAATAATGTTCCATATGGAGACTGTCTGCTCATTTTGGAGCATATACCGTTGCCCCCTTGAACTGAATGCTTGCCAGCAAGATAAATTAAGCCACTTGTGAGTGGCTCTACTGCAAGCTAACAAATTGCTTAATGCTCCAAACTGGAAACTATTCATTAATAACCAAAAGATCTTTTGGCTCAGCTGGCATTCAGCTTTTCTGACTGCTGTCAGGTTTTTTTTTTCCCTGAGGGTTTTTTCAACCCCCTTATGGAGCTGCACAGGTACTCAAGTGCTACAAGGGTGTCTTTCAAGGAGTTGTGAAATGAAATCAAGATTTTTGGCTGAAATTCAGGACCACTTTCTCACTAATGGCTTAATCAGTAAGTAAACTCCTCGGGGTTAAAAAAAAAAAAAAAAAGAGAATGCATATTATTTAGGGGATGTCAATTGAACCTTAAAAAAAAAAAAAGCAGCAGCCCCATTTCCATTGGAAGGTACATTAGATAAACCTCTTCTGTCCCAGCTCACAGTTTCCTGTACACATAGGTAATTTAGGAAGCCTTAAGTTAGCCTGGCATTTTTCATATATGAATGCTTACACAATGAGAAAGGGTTAAGTGACTTCATATTTTAATTTTTCTACAATAAAAATGAAAAAATACCAGACTAGCGTGGAAAGGGTTAGCTTTTGCAGAAACATTCTGACACCTCTTGAGAGGAGTGGAAGTTAAAGAGCACCCCAAAATACTGCTGAAAGCCACACTGTAAACACCCATGAGCACCAGTAGGAAAGCAAAGCCCTTTCTGTCAGGTATTTTTTAGGTTTCGGCTTCTTACAGTCAAACTAATGCCACTGTTTAACAGATCTAACAAGACCTTTGCTTTGGATCGGTCGGGGACCCCTTCTGTCCTCTTGCTATAAAAGCAACCCCCAAGCCCTCCTCCATCTCTCCTGTGACCCCGAAGCTGAAGCATCTTCACCTCCTTTGCAAAGAACTTTTACAAGGTCAAGAGTATAAAGTTTTTTGGTCAATTAATAAACTATTTCTGTTCACGGAAAGAAAGTATGTTAAATTGAACAAAAAATAACTGGAAGCACACAGAGTATAAATTAAAGAAGTTTCATAAAAAGCATCAATTATAAGTTCACTAAGAATGATTTGAAAGCTCATGGAACATAATACAGGAGATACTCCCACAATATCACATGTTCTCAGCTGAAAATGCACTGCAAGATAAGAGTCTTCGTTTCTGCAGAAAGCGACAACACGAGGACGTAAACAGGCAGTATTCATGGATATTCACAATTTGAAATTGTGGAAGAGAAACAACTTCTTTGGACTAACTTAAATTAGTCCACAAATTCAGTAAAATTCATTGGTCTAGCTTTAAGGAAAAACATCATTTTTTCCTGGATGTCATACTCGGTTGAAATATTAGACTATTGTGTGTTATACTAAAGGTAAAAACTCTTTTAAAAGATGTAAAGAACAGACAATGATGCTGCAGTTTGAGAAGAGAAAACAATAAAACAGGCAACCTCCCCTCAAGACCCGCACTTCACTGAAAGACAGTGCTTATTGGCAGCAAGACTTCCATTAAGAATATATTATTCCTGATGCAATTTACATTTAATTTCATTCTTTTACCAGAGCATCCAATGTTGTCTCAATACTGGTGCACTAATAACAGGTGAAGAAATGGGTAGACAGGCAAAAATATAAAAAGCTATAAAATTGCACTAATTGTTCTGTCTGAAGTGAGCATTGTGAGTGAAATGTAACTCTTGCCAATTTGATTTTTTTTTTAATCTGTATTTTTTTCTACCTTCTATTATAAACACCCATTTTGGTGTCTTTTTAGAATTGGGTTGTTTTATAGCTATTTTAATTGCTTTTCCATTAGTCACCTTAGTGATGTAGAACAAATACTTCAATGAGACCTAAGCTGAGCAAACCTTTCTTCGAATTCAGTTGGCCCTTAAAAGCCAGAGACACACTTAGAGTTGTGCTTTGATTGCTTGAACATGTTTATCATCTGGAAAGAGAGAGCCACTTCTTCTGGATAAGCAGTCAGGACAATCAGGAAATCTGTCACTTCTGCCTGAAGTATTTCACTCATCAGGAAACAATCTTGGCTGTTTGTATCACTCATAATCTACATACAATTTGACTCGTGAGAATGTTTGTAAATGAAAAATGAAAGCTGCAAAAACTTGCTGAATTGAGATTTAGTTTCTGCCTCACTGCCTTTTTAACAAATATTTTTCCTGCTCTTGACAAATGGAGGCAACAATAACAAACTGAGGATAAGTGGGAGACCTGCCTTCCAAATTCGATAGGTGTCTGCCCAGCTCTTTCACCTCTTCACCCAGACACGTGTATGGACAGCCGAAGTCATCTGCTACCCAAGCAGGAGTTTGTATTTTGATATCTAAATTAATTACACCAAATGCTCTGGTGTAGCCCCATGTACTTTCTTATCTGCCTTCAGCAGCACGTCATGGAAAGAATGAGCAAAATCTGAAACATGAATACAAGAGCAGATAAAATGAAAGAGCACTGAGAAGGGCTTGTCAAGCCTCCGTTCCCCAAGTGTTTGTAGTGAAAAATGCTTATGTGAAACTTCGCTGATTCCTCCGATATTTGAATTGGGAAGAAGGAGAGATTCTGAAAATATTGAACAGTGATATTGCCAGAAAGAATTGTTTGATTTTGGGTTCTGAAAAGTCTTTTACCTACCTTTCAAAAAGTATCTATTAAAATAACCCAGAAGAACAACGTTGCAGTAAATTTCATCAGGAATTTTCTGGAGCAGAAATTTCTGAACATCTGTGGAATTCATTTGAAATCATTTTTTAATCTTGAAAAGTGCCATTGTTTTGTTCTCTGTCAGCTGCCTTTGAAACCGAGTGCTGAGCTCTGCCTTCCCAATTCCTTCAGAAAAAAAGATCCACAGGAGAACCAGGATTCGCATGCGGACCGAAATGATTTGATTGTTCATTCACTGCATAGCAATAAACCTGTTTTTCCTGCAGGGTTTGAAGGAAGGGGAAAGGGCAGAAGGCTTACAGACGCAGAGGTTTTCTTGAACTTGAGTGCAAGGAAAGAGATATTCTATGTGTGTTTTGAGGGGGAAAAAAAAAAAAGAAAAATTGTACAGACCTCCTCAGGGCTGAAGGGCAGTACTTGAAAGCAAACTGCATCCTAATGCACCTGAGCTGCGAGGAAGCTCTCCAGTTATGCTGCAGAAACAGCTCTGTGCACAAGCAAAAGTGTTAGCTGTCCTCCTGGGCCAGGAAACTCAAGGGTTTCCCCCCCTCTCAGATCCTTCCATCATGAGGTGGCATTTCATCTCACCATTGGCAGAGTTCAGTACCTCCTCAGAGAAATTTTGGAGCCCTAAGCACAGGAACTGCCCTCCTGGTCCAGCCTCGGTGTCTGCCCACTCTGATGGCTTCTTCTCCAGAAGGAAGGTGCATGGTCCACACCAGCAGACGATGGTTGGGTTGTGCTCCCACAGAGATCTTACACTGATCTCTTAAAACACAAATCCTTGTCTATTAAAAATAAATGACTGCATAGAAAACGTGCACCACCAAACATCCTTCTGTTTCCCCCCGAGCCACATGGCAGCACACATCCCCAGTCTGGCCTGGGGTACAGACAGCTGTGGGTGCAGGACAGGCAGCAATACCGCAGTGAAGCGAGTGTTTTACGCATTTCATTTTTACATACTGCAATTTTATAAGCACATCTGCAGTCTTCCTACAATGGCAATATATTTTCCTCAGCTATGGAGCCTTTAAATGATCTCAGTCTTAAAAAAAACCAACCCAACCAACATGCAGAAAATAACCACCCAGGCTGAGAGCAAGACCAAGGGTAGCAGGTGCAGGGTCAGTAAGGCACTGATTTTCTGGAAATATTTAGAAAGTAGGTAACATTTTGTAAATAAAAGGGGTTAAAACCACAGCAGAGAACCCAGCACAAGCTGGCATCACACACGCTTCTTCCTGCAGTCATTCAAGACCATGACATCCCTGCTCATGCCATGCCATGCCATGCCATGCCATGCCATGCCATGCCCTCACCTACTGCCTGGGAGCTGCCAGTGCTCTGCTGCAAACATCAGTCTTGTAACCAGTGAGTCAAAGCTGTCTTATATTTGCTGCCTAATCAGGAGTTTGAGCTGGGGGTTCCAGAAATGAAATACTAATGATTAACAATTGATTAGTCCAACTGCATCAATCTCAGGTGATTACCTGGAGAAGTGATGGTAATTTGCACTTGTGGATTGCCTACAAAGACACCTGTTTTTAACTCATATTGTTTTGGTTAGTGGGTTGGGTTTTTTTCCCTACATGACATTAACGTATTTCTACAGGCACTTTCATTTCTGAAGGGAAGCAAATTGTGCTTTGCATTTTAATTTACCGTGACAACTGATTTTCTCCTTCTAAATCATTTCTTAGAAACATAAGAAATTCCTACTTTCACTTGCCATCTTGCAAACGGCTCATCACCAGCCACGAAGTGCACAGCCTCTGTCTCCGTAAAGTTCAGGAGAGGAATCTGGCAGTCAACAGCCTCAGAGCTGAGAAAATCCGCTTTTGTGGTTTCTTGTTCTCTTGATATCCATTCGCCATGGAGATGCTGCAGTAAAACAGAAGGAGAGTGCAGAAACTGAAGGCTCATATAAAGAAATTCCAGTTGTCAACATATGTTTATATTTATAATTAATAATGTAAGGCATTTCCAGATGGCTTATTTAAAAGAAATGATGTTGTTACTATAGCCACGGCAAAGAGCAAGCCGTGCTCGTCTATGCATGCAGGTGGTCTATTGATTTAGGAAGTGCTGTGGTCTGCACTTGGGAAGAGCAGCTGGGATGAGACAGGGTAACGTGGTGAAACAACTTTGTGTTGGCTCCTGGAGCTCAGCAGCCAGCTCCTTGAAGGCAAGGTCTGCTACTTATCTAGATCAGCTGCACCAGACATCGCTGCTTGTTAAGAGCCTACGGAGCCCAAAGCGGGCACGGTAGGCAAATCTCAGCTGTGCCTCATTAGCATGTTAGAGCTGAATGGGAACCAGGCTGAACGTCTTTCATGAGGTGGATTTATGAGATGAATCAAACCCTTCGTATCTGAGTATGCTGATACACCAAATAATTCAGTCCTAGCATTGCTCATGTATAGTTGTTTATAATAAAATTACCATGTTAGCAGAAGAGATGGGTTTAATACTCATTAAAACTTCTGACTTGGTATTGAACTGTGACTAAGAAAATTCAAATAAGAACCTCTGTAGCTATGTTGAGGAAACTTTATATTAAAACGCAAAACTTAGCATTTAAATGTGTTTAGGTAAACCACCAAGCGTACTGGATTCCAGATGCACAAAATGAGAAATAATATTGTGATTTCAGGCTTCACTGGACTACAGTGCGGCTGAACCAAACAACAGTTAAACAAAACCCCACAGAGAAAATTAGCAAGAACGCATAGCTGTGCATTTTCAAGGAACCAGTCCTGGAAAGGGCTGGGTCTCTTCAGCTCCCCTCCTTCATAACAAATGCATTGGCAATGGGGTTTGAAGGTATTTCCAATGCGTTGTGGTGGTCGGAGACGATGGCGCTTGGCACGATTCAGGGTAAGAGACTTTAATATAAACGCATCAAAGTTTGACTGTATCATCAATACTTTACGAGCCCATGGGAAGCTGCTTACAATTAACCTGGTGACCTCGCAGCGCAGGGTGGGTGACTCTTTGAAGCCGAGGCCGAACACCCGGATCCTGGTGCAGTCGGAGGCTCGGATGTCGCAGAGACCCCCATTCTCCAAACCCGTGATTTCCAAAGCTTGCTCTGAAAAGGTGAGATAGAGGAAAGGCTTTAGAGAATAGCACTTAGATGCTGTTCTGTTCTGTTTTATCAGAGATTTTGTTGTTGTTCCTGGTGGTTTTGGTTTCATTCTTTTCCTTGGGGTCTTCCTTGCTCCCCTGTGAATTTCTGCTGAGAAGAGGAGCAGCGGTTGTTGAAACGGGAAGCAGCAAACCTCCACTGAATAATTGCTCTGCGCACTCAGCACTGTGAGATGTATCGGTGACCGTTATACGGCTCATGGAATCAATTAATTGAAGCCACGGCTTCATGATAAAAGGTCTTCAATGGCAATACTCCTGCTGACCCGGGTAACAGGATGGGAGCACAGCTGAGAGGACAGGGTGTCATGCTGTAGAAGCTGACCATGCCACCAGGCTCCTCACAATGTGAAACAGCAGTGCGAAAAACAGTCCTTTTTTCTTCCCCTAAAAGATATGGTTGCAATAAAAGTAATGATTCTCAAAGGAATGTTTACTTGTGAGGGTTAAGTCGTTAACGGGTGGCACTCAGCTCTGCACAGTGTCAGTACAAATGTCATGCACCAGCTAAGTTTCACCTAAATCCTACTTTGGGGCCCTAAACAGGGTGTAAGTGATGTACAGCCTGTGCTGCACCCCTTACAAGGTTGAATTTCATCTATTACTGTTTTTAAAATGTTTTACGATTCTCAGGTAAAGGTTCATTTGTGTTCTGTTGTACTTTAGGGTATTCACCATTTGAAATTGCTCGTTGCTTTCATATTGGGGTTATTTTTACGTAGTCAAAATGCCAGTTCATTGGATGGCAGAATTCACATCTTTAGAGAAAAATATATTTGGGCAAATATTTGCATCGGCACTCAGATAACACAACACTCGTGCCAATGGCAGCAGTCAGTCAGGATCATGGTTTTGTATTTTTATTGATAGTATTTGTGGTTCTAATGGTCAGGAGAAGCCATTATGATGACAAATGACACAAAGCAGAAAATTTTCTTCTTGTTTCCTAAACAACACTTAATAACAGGGGCATGAACGGGGAGCCCTGGGAGGCATGTCATGTACCAGCACAGCATAGTTCAAGGTGTTTTCCCTGTTATGTGATGAGCAGAGTCTGCTTAACTTTTCCTCTTCACTGCCCCATCACCACCGCTGTGGCAAAGCAGTATCACCCATCAATTTTCTCTGAGCTGTAGCTTATCTAAAACAGAAGCTCTGTGTTGCCTAATATTTTAATGGTACATTGGTTCAGCTCTGATTCAAGGGGCAACATGCCCTGAGCTGAGTTGATAACTTCCTCAGTACCTCGCTGTTCCTTTAGGGCTCTGCTGTTTAAGCTGTAACTAGGATGAATGCAGTTTAAACACTGCAATCCCACCAGATAGCAGCCCATAATAACAGCGCTGCATGACTCTCATTTTTCCAGAGAATGGAAGGAAAGCAACATAAATGTGAAAAATAGTGAAAAGACTTTTTCTGTACTTCTGCAATGCTTTTAGCTTTTCTTTATTTTATTTTTTTTTTTATTGATTTTATTGCAGCAGTATTAGCAGCGCTGTTGGACCCTCTGCAATATTTACAAGAAGAGAGATGGTTTACAGCTTATCAGCATTCATCAGTTAGTTGTGGATTCCTGTAATGTACAAAACTATTACTCAGATGTAGGGAATGGTTTTGATAAATTACCTTCTTCTGTGGTTAGTGCATAAAAATTAAAAAAAAAAGCAATACAAAAAAACCTTCATTATGTTTTTCATGATATTTTAATAGTTAGTCCCCCTAGTACTGAGGTAGCTGGGATTGCATTAACATTTTCATTAACATTGCAGATTTTCAGGCTTTTGTGGGTGAAGTAAAATCTCCTAGCCTGGGAAGGGGTGAGGCACAGGAGTGTGCTTCTGCAGCTCTTCCTCGTCCAGGAGGGCACTCTCGGGTTTGTTGGTTGTCGATGAGCCCCGTGTGCTCCTCCGAGGGTTTCCTTACATCTTTACGAGCATCCTGACACTACCGTGACACCACTGTGTCAGGGCCAGGGGGAGGTTATCCAGCCTCAATGCTTTTTGAAAGGACTTACACTATCAGCACGGCATTTTGTATTTATTTCTCTCAAAGCATTCTGTACACACTTTTGAACAACTTTAGATTGATCTAAATCTGGAGGAAATATGTCACCATGTATTCTTTGGATATCTTCTCTCAAGGTTTGCTGTGTTGTGGGTTAATCAGGATGAAAATGAGATGTCTTTTTGTAGTGAAAGGGGTGAAACATTCGTGGAAGTAAAATGCACCTTGTGTTTTCTGTAGTTGGATGAAGGTGGGGAAGAAGGAGGAGACTGAGCTGTTGTTCAAGTGGGCTTTTTTCTGTTACCTCATCTGGCCGTACCGAGCCACCTTCAGCTGGCGGTGCTCTAAGGTGGGGGCATACACAGCACAGTTGTGTGGGACACCATGTGTAATTTAACGATCTATCCCTTTGTTTCTGGCCAGGTGAAGATGTGGTACTGAGGAGGTGGTGCGGTCCCCATGCAGATTTTTACCAAGGCCTTTCACAGGGGGTGTTGGGAGGAGAGGAAAAAGAGGGATAAAGTCAGATGGAAAATGAAAGTAAATGTAATGACTCATTTTTAAACAAATGGATACTACAGTTCAGACTTTAGACCTCAGTATAGCCAGTACATCACTTTTGAGAATCGTCATTATTTTTATCTAACTCTTTTCTAAAATGAGATATCATATTTCATGGGTGTAGGAATTTTAGGCATTTGTTTTTAATGTGGTTTTCTGTCTGTCTTTCCCTCTGCCTTCTAGTTTTGACATATATTAACCAGTTTCAGCATAACATGGAAGGTGAAATCTCAATGGCATTAGCTTCGGAAAAGTCTCGTAACAGTCGGTAGCTGGGTACTCAGCCATACAGATCCTGCTCTTGCCGGGGGAAAAAACACAATCAAGGTTTGGCTCTTGTTCATCCCTCCCCGTTTTAGTGGGTGGGTAGTTAATAAGCCTGTGCACGGCATATGCTCATGGGCCAGAGAGGTGGACACGTGAGAAGGAAATACCGGAGAGCCTGAAAAACCTTAGCAAAAGAGCTGCAAGTAGTTCAGCAGAAGACTGGAGGGGAGAAAGAGCAAAGGAACGAGCTGGGAAATATCACAAAGGTGAGAGTAAGGGCAAAAGGGCAGATATCCAGAGAGAGCGGAGGTGGTGGAGACCTGGGATGGATGTCGGATGTCTGTGGAGAGAAATCTGTGGTAAATCAGGCAGTGCATGGAACAAGCTTGTGAAAAGTGTGATCTGCTTGAACATTCATAATTTATGTTTCGCAGTGTGAATGCCAAACTGTAACAAAACCCAGGACAGAACGTCCTCCTTCTTTTCTCTCTATGGCTTATAGGCCAAAAAAGTACTTTGACTTTTACCGGTAGATTAAAAACTGAAGCTCAGGCCGGCACCTGGGGCTCAGGTGGGCGGCAGGGTGCAGCCACGTCATGGAGGAGGATTTAAGGAGCTGTGTGTTCACATCTGCTGGCTCAGACGTGGGCACCTCGATGCATTTCGAGTGCCTGGTCTACACACACACCAAGTAAACACACCTGAAATGCGTCTGTCACCTGGTAGAGCATCACATCGGGACACTGATGGACGACAGAAGACATTGGGGAAAAAAGTAAAAAGATGTCAGGTTTTAATAAAACTGTCTTCTAATAAAAAGGAGAGAGGACTCTGGACTTGAAGGTTGCATCTAAAAGACCTCCTGACCTCAGGCGTTCAGACAGAGATAAGGGATCTGTCCTGTTTGGTTTGTAATGCTCACGTTGTGCCTCCCTTGAGAGGCAAAGACTCTCCTGGTCCCTCTGCTTTACCCCCAGTAGGAATTTGCAGGAAAATATATCAAGTTCAAAGCCGCTGGCAGTGCTGACAGTACGGTTTCTTTCTGTAAGCATTTACATGAGTCAAACCTGACAAGGAGCACAGGCTACACAATGGATTTAAAAACCCCTGCATAAATACATGATTGGTTTTATAGATATTTGTTGTAGTGAATTACGTAAATAATAAGTATGCACAGATGTAGAAGTAAAATGGAGACAGTTGACACAAAATCAAGAATCTTGCAAAACTACATTTATTGAAGTCTTCCTGATGGATAGATATGGTTCATGTTGGGTTTCCAGTTTTGATTAGAAAAATATCCTAACACAAATAAACTTTCTTCTGCACATCAAGGAGGTGATTCTGCCCCTCTGCTCTGCCCTCTTCAGGCCCCACCTGGAGTACTGTGTCCAGCTCTAAAGCCCCCAACATAAGAAGGACCTGAACCTTTGGAGCGAGTCCAGAGGAGGCCATGAAGATGATCAGAGGGCTGGAGCACCTCTCCTGTGAAGACAGGCTGACAGAGTTGGGGTTGTTCAGCCTGGAGAAGAGAAGGCTCCGGGGAGACCTTATGGTCCCTTCCAGTACCTAAAGGGGGTCTACAGGAGAGCTGAGGAGGGACTCCTTATCAGGGAGTGGAGCGATAGGATGGGGGGAATGGTTTTAAACTGAAAGAGGGTAGATTTAGATTAGATATTAGGAAAAAAGTCTTTACTCTGAGGCTGGGGAGGCACTGGCCCAAGTTGCCCAGAGAAGCTGTGGCTGCCCCATCCCTGGAGGTGTTCAAGGCCAGGCTGGACTGGGCTTTGAGCAACCTGAGCTGGTGGGAGGTGTCCTTGCCCATGGCAGGGGGTTTGGAACTAGATGATCTTGAAGGTCCCTTCCAACCTAAACCATTCTATGATTCTATGTGCTTAAAAGCTGCAAACGCAACTGTGGGCTGGAGCAGCAGACCTGAAATTAAAGAATTTTGTTCAAATAAAGAGAAGGAAATGGACTGCCCTGTTTTCTTGATCAGGAGGATAAATAAGCAACCTAAGTCATGAAAAGCAAGTCCAGAACTAGATCATAAGTGCTGGGTATGGTCACAGCTTTGCTGAAGTGCAAAAGAAAATTGCCCATGTTGTCCAG